TCAAGCAATCAATAAATTAATTTCCATTCACGGAGGTTAAAGTAATGAATGTCGCATGGCATAAGGTTCACGCACACACACACACACAATGTAATTAAAACCTTTTATTTTATTTTTTTTCTTTTTAATATTAATTTGTGAAACTATTTATTGTAGATTAATCTTTTTTTTTTTTAATATTGTGTTAAAACTCGGGTATTGATATCCATAAACCGTTTCTTTTGTTCACGCAATATTCTATTATTATTCCACCTATTGAACGCATGAAATTGGAATGAGCATAACATTTATTGGATTAAATTAGGATATCGATCCTCGTGATAATAATTATTGTGTCAGATGAATTAGCAGCATCGATAAATTTGTTGTTTTTATTATCACGAAACCAATAGCAATCGATACATCGGCCGAGGACCATTGGTGCTTTTCAACATATGAACAGATCCTCGAGCATATTTGTTTTTGCGCGCATCCTTCTCGAGGCGAATTTTGGCAAGCGGATTGATTGCGAAGTGTACGCTTCATCGGATACACCTCTGTGCATTGGTATCATGGGAGGGAAATGAATCGATTCCTCAATTGCAATGGTGGATTCACTCATACACCATGCTTGAATCGAAGCTCCATTTGGCGCATGCATTTATTTGCAAATCATTATTAATTCCGGCATGAATTGTTTATATTAAATGTCAATTTTTACGCATGCGGTCTGGTCTATTATTGTCATGATAAGGGGACAAACGTCGCGTGCACCTCGATTTCGCCTGCTTTTCCTAAATCTGAATGACCCTGACGCATTTCGCATTAATGAGCCGATATTATTTTTATCTGTTTATGTTTTCCCTCCCGACGTTCGAAAAATTCTTCTGTCTGGAATCAACGTGTGTTAAGATGTCTGTCAACTGTATAAGGGCGATCCAATTAATTTCTAATTAACATATGCGGATTTTGGTAGGCGGGAAGCAACAATCATTTTGATACGTGAGAATTTGGTGTGATGTCGCTTTTTAGTGACCGAGGTAGGTGGCATCACACACAATTCTTGGTCGCGGGGTCCAGTCTGAGGATGGCGGAGATACTGTATAATTCTGGTTTTGTGACATTCGGGATCCTTTCAAAAAGGCTCCCAGTGATTACTCATCTCCCTGATCATCCAGGGCCAGGCTTAATGCCGGCAGGCATTATGTCGTGTCAAGTACATCAGATCACGTGTAGCACGCACATTGTCTTTGCATGTTATAAAATAAAATTTAACTCGCAACTTCCATACAACTTAATATATCAAAAATTTTTTCTTTAAAAAAAGGTTTTTTTTAAAAAAAAATAGTATTAAATAAACATAGAAAATTTCATAATAAAAATTATAAGTCTTAAAAAATTTTTTTTATATCCTCTTTTTTTCAAACCACGGTATTTTATCAGTATGAATTTTGGAAATTTTTCACATTGAATGTGAATTACCAAGGCTGCCATGTGTTCGCACCGGACTCTTTGCTCGTTACTGAGATCCTGATCTCGCATTCTAGAAAAGAGAAGGATAGGAAAACAAATAGTCCTTTGGGATAAAAAAAAAAAATATATATATATATATATATACAGTATATATATATTGCATATACTTTTTTCAAGGTTGCTGTTAGTAATATGGTGGCACCCCGGCGTGTAGGTCTCACTTCTTTTTTAAAATAAGTAAATAAATAAATAGTCGTCTAGCGCAATTTATTGTACCTTGCCATAGCATTTAAGGTTATACTTAAGGTGACACGGTCTACCGTGGACTAGTGAATTTGATTTTTAGTGCAGTGAATTAAAAATTAGGTTTCGGTGTTTTAATTTCAATCAATGTGTAAGTTTGTAGAGATAAACTTAACTTTGTGAAGCCGAAAAAAAAGCATAAATGTTAATTCTATTTACCTTGTACCCCTCTACTTTTTATTACCTAATTATTACATATCATGATTGTGTCAATGCCTGTGGTATGCAAAAGAAACTCCGTGTGAAAGATTTAGGACGCACGATGGATATTCACAACATCAAGGAAAACCACTCGTTGGAACGAAGACGACATTTCCCACAACACGCTGTAGGCGTGGAAATGTAATGCCGGGCATGATTTGGAAAGTGCCAAGCTGTATTGGTGCAATGCGGCATGCAATAATATGCCTCCGGATCCGTAGTCGATCACGGCGGTTTAACCCGTAGGATTCGGTCAAGTCTTCTTTCCAAACATGGAGCAGAATCATTGGCAGTGAAAAAAAAAATTTTTTTTTTTTCGAGGATCTTCATTACGGATAATCTTGTTGTATCCTTCTCGGGAAAACAAAGGTATAGGGTAATAATATGATTATGATACACAATACCTATTGTTAGATAACCACCACAATTATTATCTATCGTTTTCTATATGGAAATTGATTTAGCAGAGATTTTTTTGTGGAGAAGAAATGTCGATATCCACGCATCTTTTTTGTTCGCTGAGAAGGGAACGTGTGTGTTGGATTAAAAAAAAGGCTATTATTATTATTATTATTTTATCGACAAAAATAAACACCAATGTACAAATAAAAATATTTACTGTAATTGCTCACTTTGTTACTCCAGTTGTTCCGTAGAGAATGCAGATTGTTTGATCGATTGTAGAACTAATTTATTCTATCCACGCCTTTGCATTGGTGCTAACTGCATAATGTTAGGTCTGACCGCTTTTTAATCCTTATTAGATCAGTCCGTAACCCGAATGTGATAACCCCAAACCCATTTGCCCATAGAGAATCCCGTGAGCAAGCGTCGAACATCCATTGAACACTTTATGACGCTCTCGTCTCATAAATCTGATGCGCGCGCTTCCAACTGCGTCGCACCATCCTCGGGCTTTGTTTTGTATTTTAGGAATGATGAATGTCAGCGAGATAGCATTTAGACCAATGTCGGAAACAATTAATTTAAAATGTTTTGGCAATTTGGCAATCCAATGATCTTCCTACGAGATAAGGTTCAAAAAAAAATTTTTTTTTTCTTTAAAAAAAAAAGAAAAAAGAAAAAAAAATCGCAATGACAAAATTGGTGCGAATTCTTGAAAGAAAAATCCAAACGTTTTTCTCTTGTTTACTATATTCTGTTTCCATTCGGCACAAAACTTACTCATGGTACAAACATTGTATCGCAAGTTAATATTATGCCTTCATCTGTCATTTACAATGATTCGTTTCTCATCCCATGTATCAGAGATGATTGATTGGAATCGAGAAAAACCAAAAGTGACGTGATAAAGATTTGACTAAAATCTATTTATTTATTTATTTATTTATTTATAATATCGACTCAAAGCTTTTCTCACTTCATGTGAAGGCGTTTTCGTGCGTTGGTGGTGATTGGTAATTTCACGAGTTTGACAATAGATTTATTTATATTAAATATCAAAACATAATCTCTAATCTCTGAATTTATGTGTTGTGAACAATTGTAAAAAAAAAAAAAATAATAAAAAATAATAATAATCCTGATTGAGTAGAAAAGATATCAAGTAAGTAGCCATTTATGCACAAAGATATCTTCTCAAAAATCACCCGGAACTTTGAACTTCAAAGAGTATAAAAAATTTTCAATTTCCTAATTTGGTCATATTTCTTTAACATTTTCAAGTTTTTTTTGTTTGTTTTCATCTTCTACTGGCTTGCATCAGGCCTCCGACTCGCGAGTGTTAAATAAAACACAACATATAAACAATGAGGAATAAAAAAAAAAAAAAATACATTGCCTTTCGGCCTATCTCTACGTCCAACAAAGAATAGAGAATGGACCGGATATAAGCATTCGGTCAAAATAAATGCGCTGACCTCGTCAATAATCTCGAGTCCTGCCTCAAGGTGATGAAACCTCATTCATTCCATAAATCGCACGTTTGTGATCACAACCTGTGCAAGAGTGAAGAACCGGTGATTTGTTCGGTTTTACAAGAAAGAGACTTGAAAATTATATAGAGACATATATATATACATGCGCATACACACTATATAACGCATGTATATGGACATGCAAGCATGCACGCATATACAGTAAATGCATCCCCTTTTTTATTTTATTCTATTTTTTTGAACAGATTTAGTCTTATTTATTTTTACCACCGTTTATAGAAATTACAGAGGGATGGTGACGGTTTCGAATTACATGGTGAATTATGCCAGGGTGATGATGTTCAGGGAGGGATAGGTTTCAAATGGAGACGACAAAAAGTGTCATTCAACCTAATTCTAGCGGCCAAACGGCCAACACATTCGATCGATATGGCAGATAAAAAAAAGAATCAAAATCATGTCATCTAATACTCCGTATTATCCGGTGACTCACGGATTCGCCACAGTGTCAGGTCGTTCGATGTTTAGGCGCATCAAGGAGTGTCTGAAAGGCATCCCTCGCTTATAGAAAATGTTATTTTGGGGAAGGCTGTGAGTGATCGACATAAAATTTTGGTAATCGGTATTTTCGGTAACGGTGTTCTTTATTTATTAAGTGCGACCGGTAACCACTATCTGTATCAAACAAACAGAAATGAATTGTACAGTATTTTAGTGATGTCTGAGTGAAATATATTAGTGACTTGATTAATAGAAGGGAATCACAAAGTGACTGTAAAATTATTCAGAAAAAAAACCAATAATTATTGTTTGTCAGACATGAAAAGTATATATATAATGGTTCAGATTCGGTCCTTCGCTTTAAACAAACAAGCTCAGAGGGCATCTAATACAGTCGAAGGTTCCACATAAACCTGGAATTGGGATTTCCCAATGAATGAGAATCTTTGAACAAATATGATTCATTGTCAAATCAAAGAATAAAAGACCTCAATTTTCCAACTTTTTTTTTTTTAAATCCGAAAATTTTTTTTTTTTTTTTTTTTTTTTTTCTTTGCCTTTGAGCATAATTGTTTTTCCGCTAGTGAGTAATAGTGTGTATGTCCGTTCATTAAATTTATCATACCCCAAGCTTTGCCACTTAAGATGAATAATAAACAAGCAGAGTCGCGTTCCTTGGAAACCAACCAGGGAAACGTGGCAAATTTGGAAGATTGTCCTTCCTATACCACTACCACCATCACCTCAAACATCTCTAAATTCGACCGACTGCCGGATTCTGCAGTTGAGCAGAAATCCTTGCCGCAGGACACGAAACAGAAAGTGCCCTACACGCAAAAATATCAACTGCAAATTCGAAAAAGTTCACAGCGCTCCCCTGATGATATCCCTACACCTTCTCCGCCTATTGGAGCTCACAGCGGATTACTGCCGGAACTCACTTTTGATCAAGGCAAAGGTCAATTTCTATGGGCGCCTGAAAACTATCAAGGGGTATTTGAAGCTTTCTTTTGTTTATGTGCAAAGGAAAGAGAAAGAATCGAACCAAAAAGTCTTACTAAATGAATGCTTCTCTCTTGTTAATAATTCTTAAAAACAGAATCTGAGGAAGCGCCGGATGAACATTAACTCACCCTCGGCGTCTCCCAAACCCTACGACAAGGTACCTCGCCCGCCCAACGCATTCATTATATATCACAAGACGAAATCCAAGGAGCTGTCCAAGTACAAGTCGAAAGCGCGAAGTGTGTCCGACGAACGTCATCCATCGAAAACTGTGGCCGAAATGTGGAGGGAAGAACCGGAGGAGATTAAGCTGTATTATCAGAGGGAGGCGGATTTGGCGCTGGTAGAACACAAGAAGAAGTATCCGTATTATAAATATAAACCGAAGAAGAAAGATGGTAAAAATAAAGGCAACTCAACATCATCTCCCGATTCATTCAAAGACTTGGGCCCTGGAAATTCGAAAGAGGATTCGCAAGTACCAATGGAACATAGAAAACAGGCGTCCATGGAGTCAGCGTTTACGGTATTTGACCTTCGAGCTTCGTCCGAGAGGCAAGAAGAGAAAGTCGAAGAAGCCGTGGTAACCGAAACGAATTTTGTGAATTCACCGCCTGCGACACCAATTTGGTCCGATTTCCCTATACAATTACCAGAGCAACCACCACCACCACAACAACCACCACCAAGTCAATGTCCTAATTGTCAGAATCAAAAAACCTGGTCACGGTTCCCTCAAATCTCACCGATAACCACACCGACAGCAACCTTACCATTGATAACTCAGGAATCAATACTTTCATTCATGCCCGAAATACCCGAGTACAATCAATCCTTTACGCCATCGCTGACCACCGTCCTGGAAGATTCCCCGTTGACCGCTCACATCCTGGAAAATCTGGAGAATTCCATGACACCAGCTTTCTCCGACACCACATTTAATGAGGCTGGCTATTCCCAATTCAATGATAACATCAGTAGCAACAACGAGATAGGTGTTCCAACGATCGCAAACATCGCTCCGGACGTCATTGACTATCTGTTGACACATTGGAATTTACCCGACAGTCTAGCTGGATACATCGTCCCCCCTCAGGACACACAGGCGTCATCAATTACATTACCTTCCGACTCACTACAAGAGCTTCCACCGACACCAACGAGTCCCATAAACGTGTTTCCATACTCATCGACAATTACAACAGACATTCAATGCGCGAATCAGCCGCAATCGCTTCATAATATTCAACAGCTTTTTCAACTGCAATTTCAACCAGCTCACCCCAACGAATGACTTCATCCAATTAAAAACAATAAAATAGACATCACACGCAATACATAATAATATCAAGAGCATTTTTACACAAAAATGGAAAACTTCAATTATTTATTGCGAGAGCTTTTGCAGTTTTACCATGGCATCGTAGATAAGTTAAATTCTTCTCAAGGAACATTTCATTCTTGCTTCCTTCGATAAATATATTTACCCACTATAGTTATTTATTATACACTAAATTGTACAGAAAGACAACTCGTCGCCAGCCTTACTAGGCACATACAACACAACATAACATAAAGTTTAGAAATGAAAGAAAAAAAAAAAAAAAAAAAGAGGGCAAAAGAAAAAACGAGGAAAAAAAAAAAAAAAAGAGAAAAGAAAAGAAAAAAAAAAAAAAAAAAGAAGAAAAGAAGAAAGAAAAGAAAGAAAAACCCATCATACATATTTCAGAATCATTTGTAGACAGCCTGGTTTTGCGTGGTCAATCCTTCCTTTCTTCCCCGACGGTCGGTGAATGCCTAATCACTGTTATTATATTACTTTGCATTTAAGACAACGAGGGTAACGATGGGATGGATGTAATTAATTCTCTACGGACAAGGGTTGGCGAGGGTTGTTACTAGTGAAGTATTCTTTTTTTTAAAAAAAGAAAAAAAAAAAAAAACCAAAAAAAAAATTAAAAAAACAAACAAACTCTCAATTTGCATTTCTCTCTCTCTCCTCCTTTTTTTTTTTTTTTTTTTTTTTTTTTTTTTTTTTTTAATATACATAATGTAGTATAATATAAACCTTGTAACAAATTCAGACTTGTAATAATAAACCAAAAAAAAAGAAATATGCGAAATAATAAATTCAAAGCTTTCCTTGTGCTAAACATTGGTGAACCGAAATTAAAGAAATTTCTTGAAAGGCAATGCGGCATACAAATAAATAACGTAGCATGGCTCGTGCCAGGTTATTAAGTTAAAATATTATGTTTATGCACACAAAGGGCCATTAATTTGTGAGACGTCCCGTATAACGGAATTAATTTCCAGCGACTAAAGAAACTAGACGCGTAGTTTAAAAAGCCCGCCATCGGAGAAAACAGGAATTCAATCATTGTTGCATCATTGTGGTATCGTGCATCCTGCTCACAAATGTTTTGAAGATCCCGATAAGTAGAACATTTAATTCCTGAGTGGTGTACAGGGATAGTTGTTAATAAATTATATGCTACTGTTGCTTTTCCTTTTATGGGTTCTTTGTATAATATCGGTTGTGTTTATTAAAAATGCATTAGGTGAAGGAGAGTTGAGTGAGAAAGGGGTAAGAATCTCCGAAAGGCAACGGTGATATGGGTGGTAAACCGTGTCGGTCGACAAAATTGATGGATTCCCGATTTCAAGTTCTTTGAAGAGACATGGGGGGGGGGAAGAAAAGGCGTAGCATCATGGCCAAAGGCCATGATCCTGTGGTATGTGTCCAAAGGTCTATGTCGATATCGCATGTTTCAACCTTAGGCGAAGAAGGTCTATGTCGACATCGCATGTTTCAATCTTAGGTAAAGATGGTCCTTATTTCAAGCACCAACAGGAATTTTGCTTGATCACCATGCTGTTCGCGTACATGCAACATCTAATTAAAAAACACACATGCAAATATTAGGTTTTCCAGAGCCATGTACCAACAAAATTTTGCCGAAGAGAATTAGAACTACGGTACCATGTGGCAAAAGTAATCGAATCATTATTCGTGAAAAAAAAAATTTTTTTTTTCCAAAACAAATACCAGATTGTTTCTTGTTTCTAATTACGATCTGCAATTTTGATTTGCCGTTCGCAGTCGCGAGAACCATCGGTGTTTTTAAAAGTCACTTTTTTTATTTGTTTATTTACTTGTTCACCTTTACAAATGTCAGTCGCCTCCCTAAAAAATGTCGGGAGGCAGACAGACTCTCCTGGTGCTCGGTAATGGTAACGACACGAGCACGAATTACTTGTAACTTCATATTCCGATTTTTGGGGTTTGGAAAACAAGAATTTCAAATTAACGAATTAACCATGGGCTACATGTGTTACCCGAATATCGGAGGGCTATATTATATGCCTACCACGTATAACCTATTCAAAAATGCAGGGTCCATCCAATTATTTTTAATCATCGCGAGAAGGAAATGGGTCGATCAAAGTCACGATTCTTTTTTTTCATCCTCGACCAATCGATTTCTTGAATGACACAAGGCATCGATCTTATAAAGTCGAAAATTTTGATTATAAAGACCGCTTCATCTAATCAATCAAGTCACGTCATAAAGACATAACGACACCTTCAATAACAAGGGTGAACACATTAGGATTAGGCAATGCAATGATGACATACTCCAATGAGATTGCATTTATTAATTGGGTGGGTCGATTTCTAGAACGAGAAGTTGCCGTCCAACGACTCTTTACCTATAGCCACACTTTATATTCGCATAAACTGTCGGCTACGAATTCTCCTTTTCAGAAAACTGATTTCTCACGTACTATTACTATTATTTTTATTTTATTTTTTTTCATTTTTATTATTTTTATTTATTTATTTATTATTATTATTTTTTTAAAAAAAAAATTCGATTAATAAGAAGTTGTTCGACGTTTTCCAATCCGTCAACATCACGCACTGTCACCATGACTTTATCACACGGCGAACTTAAATAGGGAGATATAAAAAAAATTTGTAGATACGGCATATAAAGTATACGCATATTCCAACTTCACCTTCCTTGTGTCCGTTACAAGTGAAGCTTGCAAATCATCCATGCAAGTGGATTATCTCAGATCCAATCATATTGTCGTAAGAGTGCCAGTTGATCATGAATCATGTTAGAATTTTAGTACGAATTTCATTTAATTTTGGAGGTTGTTATTGGTCCTTGTGGTTGCGACTGTCCATCAGTCTTTTGCGCGCGCGCTTTAAGGGTTCTTACCGATCATTGCCACGAATTCTTCGTATTTCAAAAGAGTAACGTGTGCTTCTCAGATCACCTCTTATCCTCTTGCCCGTTTAGAGAAGAAACTCACGGGTCTATGAATCATTGAAGGCATCCTTATTCTTAGGGTGCCTCTGATTGGTCTATCTATTTCGAAGCTGATTGGCTGGGTTCGTGTATAAATTATATCAACCGCGAATCATTATGCATTGTCACAGAAAACCCGATTAAGTCTAAGTAATTTATTAGACATCGTTCTTAAGTGTAAGACCTATCGACTCACCATTTACTAAACATCGCTTTCTTGATTTTTAATAGTGAGCGTTCTGATCGAAACATCGGTCGGCGATATCGTCATCGATCTTCAAGTTAAAAAATGTCCGAAAACTTCATTGAACTTTCTTAAATTATGCAAAATTAAATATTACAATTTTTGTTGTTTTCATAATGTTCAAAAGAATTTTATGGTTCAAACTGGTGACCCGACTGCAACCGGGAAGGGCGGCGAATCAATTTATGGAATACTAAATGGCCCATCACAAAAATATTTCCCTGCGGAAATTCATCCGAAGCTGAAACACAAACGAGTAGGAACTGTGTCAATGGCTGTGGCCAGCGATGGTACGGAGGGCGGGGGTGTCAGCGGTTCTCAATTTTTCATTTCGACCGGTGAAAATTTAGATTATTTAGATGGAAAGTACACCGTGTTCGGGGAGGTCGCCGAAGGATTTGACACTCTAGAAAAAATAAACAGTGCGTATTGCGACGAAACCGGGAGACCCTACAAAGATATCCGAATCAAGCATACCATCATACTCGATGATCCATTCCCCGATCCCGACGGTTTGGAGGTGCCGGACGAAAGTCCGCCACCCACCGCCGAGATGCTGGCGACCGTGAGAATCGGCGAAGACGAGAGCATTGAACCCGAGCTACCACCGGAAGCGATGGAAAAAGTTCAACGACAAATGGAAGCGCGGGCGCAAGCTCTGACATTGGAGATGATCGGGGACATTCCTTTTGCCGAAGTGAAACCGCCGGAGAACGTCTTGTTCGTGTGTAAACTTAATCCCGTCACCAGGGATGAAGATCTGGAATTGATATTCTCAAGATTCGGGCATATAAGTAGTTGCGAGATCATTCGAGACAAGATGACCGGTGACTCTCTGTGCTACGCTTTCATAGAATTCGATAACAAGGAGGACTGTGAGACCGCCTATTTCAAGATGAACAATGTCCTCATAGATGATCGACGTATCAAGGTCGACTTCTCTCAATCGGTGTCAAAGCTTCACAAAGATTGGATCAATTCCAGGATTAGAAAGCAGGGTGGGGGTGGTTATGGTGGATCCGAGAGTTTGGAGAAACGGACGAGATATCGTGGCGGAGATGATGTTCCGGTTGACAAGTATGACCTCGTTTTCGATCACACGGATGACTATGAAAATGAGAAGCGAAATCACAAACGAGAGAGCAAAAACTCTGAAAGGGAGAGAGATGACCATGGAGGCATGGATGGTGAAAGGGACAACAAAGGACGTAGGCGCGACAATGATTATCCCGAGAGAGGCTACACGCGAAAAAGGTCTAGATCTTTGAGCCCACGAAGGAATAGGGATTATGAACGACATGGTTCAAGGTATGATAAATATGACAGGTACGATAGAGATCGTGGCAAGGAATACCGACGACACAGGTCCAGATCAAGATCACATTCAAGGGACCGAAAAAAGCGGAGCGCTCAAAAACATTAACCAACGCATAAAAAAATTTTAACCCCTGTGTGTGAACAAACACTGATTCAAAAATCGTCTTCCCCAATGGCCGGGGATCTGTTAAAGCGGTACCAACTCAAATGTCAATAGTAAATTATACCATAAGTAACCACGTACAAAAATCGAATGAAATACTCGCTACGAGAACATACAAACTAAATAAATTCTTTTAGTTGGGGTTGGGAAAGATTAAATCAAGGTGTAAAGACGGACAGGACAGTCTTGTTTTATATTTATAGTGGTTAAATAAATTTATTATTATACGTGAGTTGTATCGCATAAATAAATAAATGACATTTATCTACTAATTAACGATCTAATTTTCTGTCACCTCGCCATCAACCTGAACACGTTCTTGCTCAACAACTTTTGACTCATCATCAACCTGAATACGTTCTTGCTCGATAATTTTCGACTCGACATCGAGATTTCGTTGACTACCCAGATTCCGAAAGCGATTGACATCTTTAATAAGATGAATAGCTCTTCTGAATTTGTCCTTTGCTGACAGATTATTCCGCACAGTTCCAAGAATGTCGACGGTAGTTGCCGATTGAAACCACTGATGTTGAAGCGCTTCTTGTGCGGTAATTCGTTTTGATGGGTCCAGAGTTAACATTTTATCAATCAGATCGGTCGCTGCAATGACGTGTCATAAGGAATGTTTTAAGAAAACAGTCAGATTTCCTTCAAAAAAAAAAAAGAGGGGTTTTTTTTTGACGATAGTTAAACCAATTACCATGCACCGATATGCCAGCCCAGTAATCTTCTTCATAATCATATTGACCACGCATGATGGATTCAAATAGAGCGTTTTGATCATCGCCATAGAATGGCTGATACCCGCATAGCATGGTATACATGATCACCCCAATACTCCAAATATCCACTGGCTTTCCATGTCCATGTTGTGAAAGTACCTCGGGAGCCACGTATCTATGCAAAAAAATTAGTACTTTACTTTGTAAGGAGGCAATACGAGGTGAAATTGCACGCTCAACACCTAGATTACATCATTAGCATACCCCGGCGTACCACAGGCTGTCGTCAGAATGTCGTTTTTATTTTTCAAGATTTTTGATAGGCCAAAATCGGTGATCAGGATATCTGCATCTTCCGACTTGTCTTTAAAAAGCAGATTTTCTGGTTTCAGATCTCTATGCACTATCTAAATATTATAAATATGTTGATTATTTTAGGAAAAAGGATGAATCCAATTTTACCATCAGACTTTACTTACACCATTTTCATGCAAATATGACACACCACGCAGCATTTGTCGCACCAAGTTGGCGGCATCTCGTTCTGTATACGACCCTTTCTTTATAAGTTGATCAAACAATTCCCCGCCCCTTGCAAGATCTGTCACAATGAAGACACCTTCCTTCGTTTCGTAAAGACCATGCAATGTTACAATATATGGATGGTGAATTTTTTTGAGGATTTCACATTCCGTGGACAGCATTTGTTCCTTTCCTGGTAGCAGATTTAAGGTAATTAATAACTTCGGGTTTTAAAGAATTTAGGTCAACTATTAGAAATGTTTGATGCTCCATTTATGCGCGTTCTAATCACCTTTAACAGACCTTTTGGAAATAACCTTCAACGCATAACTTTGACCAGTTTTCTTGTCTACACATTCTCTTACAATTGCGAAAGACCCCGTACCAATAACCCTTAAGATTCGATAATTCTTCTCGAGTTCATGTGGGATTGAAACACTACCTTCGTCCCCTTTGGGAGGATTGAAAATGTCAAGCAGTTTACGTAAGAACAAGGCCATCTGGATAAGAATTGAAACCCTATGAAAAATTTAATATACTGTATCCTACTTGTGTTGGCCATCACCCTATTATTGCTTCAGCCAATAATCGGATAAATTAAAAGGAACCCAATAAAGATTTCTTTTTCTAAAAAAAGGAAATAACCATGCTTTTTAAATGCTAACTCGGTCACACTTCAGAATTACTTTTTTTTTTTTTTTTTTATTTAGAAATAATATTACCTAATTTATAACATATAATCCAAGCAATGAAAAACGAACAAAATGCTAAATTTTCGACCCCCAGTTTTGAATAATACATATACAGTAGTATAATGCAAATTCTAGGATCACAATTATAGGGTCATGAAAAATTCCTGTCCGCCTTCGAAATAATTACCCGAATATTGCAGAAAACCCTCCCTAAATGCACTTCCCTTGGGACCAAGTACAGGCGTGCATTTAGAGAAAAAAGTTCATTTTACCCAAAAAACTAATTTCGCCTGACTCAACTTAATTTTGCCCAGAAAATTATTTCTATCTTATTTTGCCCAAAAAACTTGATTTCGTCTAATCCCAGCTATCTTAATTCTAGCCAACTTTATTTTAATTTCGGTCAATAGTCATGTGAGATGCATTGATGTAAAAAATTATTGTACTATATTCAATATTATTTTAACTTGGAATTGCAATAAAGAGTGCATTTAAAAAGAATGTGTATTTAAAAAGTTTTCTCTATAAATATAGAAATTTTCATAAAAAATTAAACTTTTTAATTAAAAAATATATTAATGATTTAATTAGTAATCTTAAATTCAAATAAATTCAAATAAAAAAAATAATATATTGGTTAATAGTTTTTAGCAAAATTATTAATATACAGTAACTATCAATTATTAAAATTTTTTTTTAATTCTTATATATATATATATTTTTTGAGTACCCGTAGCCAGGCTAGATCATCAGTTTATTAATCAATTGAAAACAAAAATACATTTTTATTCGAGTAGCATTATACATACT